CGGCTTCTTGATAGGATTTTTACGCAAAAGGGGTTAAAATCACACAAAATACTTGCAAATGCTTTCAAGAGTACAAGGTAGTTGTAGGAAGAATGCTTATGCAAGGTCGTTTTCCAAAGTGATTATTTGAAACAATTTATGTTAAAAACCAAATCTTAATTAACTATCTGAAACAAGGTTTAGAAAAGATTGAATTTACAATTTAAAATAAGAAAAACGTTTTGATGAAAACAATTAAGAAGAAATCAGCAATCACATAAAAAATTTGGGAAATGCCTAGAAATAGGACAATTTCTTAATCTTGGGACATAAATAGGACATTTCAAACATGCACACGGCATGCACATGCCATGCACAACAAGTGGACATAAATAAGATTTTTCCTACACCTTGAAATGACCAAATTTTCCTTCCATATAAATGAGTTATCTAGAAATTTTAGCTCTCAGTTCTCATTTTGTAGAGAGAGAAATAGAGAGGAGAGATAAAATCTCCCTCCCCTAATTGTAGTTCAAAGAACCTTAACCCACCCATCTTCTGCATCCAAGAGCTCTCTCTAACTCACTCATCTTCTTCATCCAAGCTTGCTCGCTCTCTCTCTCTCTCTCTCTCTCTCTCTCTCTCTCTCTCTCTCTCTCTCTCCTCTCTCTACATTTTGAATATGCACAAGAGCTCTCTCTCTAACTCACTCATCTTCTTTGATTTTTACCTTTTCATTCGTAAGTTTTCTGAACTGGGTTTGCTTAATTTTGCTTTTTGATTAATGGATTTTTGGAGTTGAAGTGATCGGTTTGGTGTTTCTTGGAGGAGACCAAAATCCTTCAATTTTGATTTTTGATTTTTTACCATTTCTCTGGTTTATATGTGGGTTTTCATTTCTTTTGTCCTTTCCCTCCCTCTGCTCCCTCTCTCAATCCAAATTTACAAGCACTAAAATAAGGTTTGGCTTTTGCTGCAATTAAATGAAATAACGTATTAAAGGTCCGTTGCCTTTTGGAGAGGAGATAAATTTGAGGGAAAAAGAAGAAATTAGAGTGGAAAGAAGGAAGAGAGAATGATATGGACGAAACTGTTTCACGTACTTGTTCGATCTCTTCGTATCAAGCTCGCTCATACACTGTATGTACAAAACATGCATAGGACATGGACATGTTATGCTCACAGATCTGAGCTTAACCCAAAAACCCATAGCTCATAGTTCTCTCTTTGAAATCAGAAAAAATGACGCAATTAGATAAATGACCCTAAACATTATATGTTGAATTTGGTATCAAATTTGATTGGGTTCAAATATTTCAAGGATTTGAAAAATTACAGTTTGAATGGGCACGAAAGAACCCAAGTGAATCAAAAGAAATTGTTTCACGAACTCGTTTGCTTTTTCCGTATTTGCAACGCCTGCCTCTGAATCAAAGGAAAAAGTAGTAAACTACATTAATGCGAAGAGTATCCAATATGTAAATATGCACCATCTACACATAATACACTATATGCACACCACATGCACATAATATGCACAATACATACACATGATATGCACAGAACCAGAAAAACGGCAACATATTGGTATTGTGCATACAATTAAAACATAATTGTTATGTATATAAGGTTATAGTGACAATTTGAAAAGTCTTGTTACGTATATCAACCACCGCTTAACCATGCACGTGGAAAACATGATATTTGTTGTCGTTATTTCATAGACACGCATGATCCTTAACATCCTCTAAGTTTTTTCTTAATTTTGTTTTTCGTTGAGGCCAACTAGGTTGTGGTTATACTCGCTAAATTATGAGGCACAACATACGTGCATCATAATTAATTAGTGAACATTCCCGCTTCTTATATTAAGATGTAGCCATGCACACCACATGCACATTATGAAAAAAATTTCGCAAATTTCTGCAATTGGACACTTGAACCAGAAATTGTTCCATCCCAGTCTTATAGCACATCAAAACTTGAAATTTATTCCACAACCCATATGCACCAACATGAAACACAAACCCTAATTTAACTTCTAAGTATTAATTCATGTTACAACAACCCATTTATTCCATAAATCATTGATGAAGGATCTTGGAACTAAACACCCTACCTTACTATACCTGTCGAAGCTTTAGTCACGGAAAAAAAATGGAACTTTATGGCCAAAACAGAAAATATAGTACAAAACCCAACTCACTATTCTCACATCGCTCTCGCTTGCCTATGCTCAAAGATCTAAGGAAGGGAGAGAGAGAGAGAGTAGATAGAGAGTAGAGAGAGAGAGTGAGAGAAAAGAGAGAGGAGGGGAGAGAGAGTAGAGAGAGAAAGTGAGAGAAGAGAGAGGAAGGGAGAGAGAGAGTAGAGAGAGAGAAATCAAAAAATGGAGGAGAGAAAGTGAGGAATAACCCATTTATAGGTGGGTATTTTAGTAGCTTGTGCATGGCTGATTTGTCCTATTTATGTCCCAAGATTAAGGAATTGTCCCATTTTGGGGTATTTTCCAAAAAATTTTGGAAAACAAATTGTAACAACACACTAGTTTGATAAAATAACAGTAAAGAGACACTTAGGTTCAGCCGTCACCTTAAGAATCTTATGTAGTTTTACCAATTACTTATGAATTGCGCATGCAACTTGAATGTTAGTTTTCCTAATGCATATTCTACTTGCGGCAAATACAATGTATATCAAATATGCAATCCTTTTGTAGCATTTTTATCAAATGTAAACATGCAAGACTCATTACGCTTTGTGAAAACCCTTGAAAACCATCAACCCTTAAGACGTGGTACTCGCCTTAAGTGAAATTACAATTATTAACCACAAAAAAGCATTTGTCAATTTCAAAGTGACCTTCTAACTGAAATTGCATCTAATTACTTATCTAAACATTCTAATGGTAACTAGTTATTAAGACATAAAGACAATTTAAACACAATGATCAATAATTCAAAGTGTGCATGCATTATATCATAAACAATTAAATAAAGTCCGTATATTCATGTTAACCCTTGTGGCTTCGCCCTAGAAAAATGAATTAGTTATGCATATTCATAATCAAAATCAAGAAAAATATTATTAAGAAGGAAAAAAAAAATTGAAAACACCTTGGATTACAAAATCTACAAATCTCCAACAGCTCTAGCCGAATTCTCTCTCAAAATCGCATAGAGAGAACCCTAATGGTTGACTAGATCTATTTATTCAGCAATGAAATATTTCCTAGAAAATATCTTCTAAAAACTAGGACACAAATATGCTAGAGTTGCCTAGTCACAAATATGCCATGTTCAGGGCCCAAAACACCTCCAAAATGGGGACAAGAGATTTGTTTAAAACTTGAGAGGTTCTAAACAACTTTGTAGAAAGGTACAAATCGAGAAAACATCGTCTGGTGCACCAAAATGTCCAATTAAGCATAAAATGTCAATCTGCCAGCTTCATGCGTTGATCCTTTATTAATTCGCCATAAATTAATTAGTTGGCACAAAAATCTAAAACTTTGTTACGAACAAGTTGAAAGACTTGCGAACGTCTTCCAATCAGAATCACTTCAAAATTCGTTTGTTTGATCACTTTTTCTCAAGAGGAAATCACAAGTCTTACACTGGAATAATAAATCAAAGTATAAAAATTTCATCAAAATATACAAAAACAGGGTAAAATACATAATATAAAATCGACTCATCATACATAAAAAAATAAAAAAAAATAAAACAAAATACAAAAAAAACAAAAAAAACCAACTGGGCATAAGCCTAAAAGATAAGGAAAGAATATTACGAGACCACGACCTCATTTATATATGCAACTAGTAAGCAAAGACAAGAAGGTTGACCTTGCTAAAAAAAACCTGGACCCAAACAAGCCAAATTATAAGCAACAAAATTCCCTTCACAATAGTTGACGAATTTCAGAAGATCAACTTTGGTGCATTAGAGCACGACAATTCATTATTAAATTTCTCAAAATGTGATTATCTATTTTTGCACTTTTGATGTATGATATAAAAAATTCAGTGTTAAGAGGGCATGTTCATTCTAAAAGGGCCCAACATTTCCAATTCTTCCAATTTTCTTCCCCAATTGCATTATTTTTTGCTTGTTCTTCGTTTCCAATCATTAAAAATCTCATTTTCCTTTAAAAATATTTAAGAATCAATCAATCTTCTTATAAAGAAAAACACTTAATGATTTCACTGGCTTCACAAATTTTTTGAAAGACGTTAGACATTGTTTCTTAAGTTAGGAACTCCTTTTAAAATGGCTAAAAGCACTTTTATGAAAATAATTTTGAAACCAATTTTTAATGAAAATGCAAGTGAATCGTGAAAAAGCAGTTGGAGTGTTTTTGAAACCTATGAACATTTTGTTTCTTTCAAAAAACGCTTTTAATTATTTAAAAGCTCTTCTAAATAAGTCTTTAAAATAATGAAGTGCAAGTTGATAAGTTAAAATAGCAATTCCCGTAATAATTCTCATTTTTTATTATCAGATTGTACATAAATAGTATGACAGTAAACTCAATCTTTTTTTATGGCCAAGTACGATAAACTCATTATTCAATAGTGGAAAACTCGAGGTTGAGTCAATTTCCTTCGAACTAACAAATTTTACATGTAATTTAAATGGCTTCTTACGATCCTTTGGTTCTTTTCAAAGAGAGAAATTCTCGAAGCAAGCAGTTGTCCAACCTATTTGTCCAATATATCAGAGCACATTATATACGTTGTTAGCTAAACAATTTACGTGTGTATTAAGTTCAAGATACGTCACTCATAAGCACGTGTGTTAAGAGCAATCCCAACTTCTTTCTTGATCCTCATGCATAAGAATTATACATTACACCAAAAGACCACCGACACAAGCTTTGCTACAACAAATTTATGTACGTAATATGATCACACATTGTATTTTTGGGAGGTGTTGTGTTCTAATTGGCTGTTTGTTTGAGTATTTTACTTGAGCAGTAATTGCAGTCAGCAAATGAAAGTTTGTATTTCGTTGATTCTGTTACTTGTGTAATGATTTTGAATGGATACAGATATCATCTTAAAAGTATAACATCAAAGTTGCTCTATCACTTGATAGATTAAATTAATAACACATATCATACATCACTAGGTGATACACGAATGAATGGTTACCTGAACGGGACTCAGCAGTGGAACAACACCCTCCAATGCAGCATTCAAGGGAAAGAAGCCCCGAAACTTGTCTAACTGCTAAGATGCAAATCAGTTTCATTGTGGACTTTCTATAAATGCCGACAAAGCAGGATCCACTGCATCTTTAGACAATAAATTAACGATCAACTCCGCAGTTGATGCATCTGCAGAAAAACCCCTCTCCACCATTTCTTGAATAAGCCTCACCGCCCTTGATGTGTCATTGTTATTGAAAAACCGTCGGATAATTGTGTTGTACGTGCAACCATCTGGAGAACGACCTCTCTCTTCCATTTCCCTTAGCAAGCTTTCTGCTTTACATGTTAGCCCCCCATTACAAAATCCACTAATCATTATATTATATGCCCAGACATCAGGTTGAATTCCTTTTGATGGCAAACTACGAAAGAGATCCCATGCATATTCAACTTTTTCGGCTCTACACAAACCTTGAATAAGAATATTGTAAGTTACAATATCAAAATCCAACTTCTTTCCCTCCATCTCTTCCAACAATTCAACTGCCTTGGGAAATTGTTGGTTTTTACAAAGGCCATCCAGTAAAATATTATACGTTTGAACATTTGGAAGTTGACCTAAAGTATGCATTTGAGAGAACAAGTTATGTGCATCTTGTATTCTTCCCATCTTGCAAAACCCATCAATAAGAGTGTTATAAGTAACCATATTTGGAACAATTCCCCTATGAGACATTTCCAGAAAAAGCATCCGGGCATCATCTATCCTTTTAAGTTTACAATAGCCATTTATCAATATGTTATAACTATGAGCATCAACCATGCACCCTTTGCTAAACATTACGTCAAAAACCTTTTTTGCCTCATCCATTTCTCCTCGCAAACAATACCCATCCATAAACGAATTGTAAGTAATCATATCAGGTTCGATACCTCTTTGAATCATCATTTCGATCACGCTCCTTGCTTCTTGGACCATTCCCTCTTTACAAAATGTATCAACCAAGACATTAAAGGTGTACACATCTGGAAATATATGTTTACTCACCATTTCATTCAACAATCTTGTAACTTCTTTCCAATCCTGTAATTTGCAAACTCCATGAATCAAGACATTATAGGTCCTGACATCTGGGGCAACACCCTTACTCTCCATTTCTGAGAAGAGCTTCAGTCCATCGGCAACTAGAGTATCTTTACAAAGACTGTCGATAATCGTGTTATAAATAAACATGTCAGGCTTGCAAGCCCCTTCTTCCATCTTCTTAAGCAATTGGACCGCTGCAGTGTTGTCACCTTTCCTGCAAAGGCCCTTTATTAGAATAGCGAAAGTAACCACATCCGGCTTACAATTACCACTGTCCATCATTTTGTTGAAAAGTGCTGCTGCCTCGGCCTCTCTATTTTGAAGAAGAAAGCCGTTGATTAGAGTGTTGCAGGTCGTGACATTTGGTTCCAAACCCAATTTGAAGAAGTTTCCCAAGACTGACAAACCAAACCCCATTTGGTGCAAATGGCAAAAGCAGTTAATGATAATACTCAGAGTATAAATATCAGGACGAATTCCCGAAACACCCATTTTATTATTCAAGGAGATGACTGCCGAATAATGTTTCAACTTGGCAAGTTGAGTCAAGATTTGGTTGAAAGGGACAACGGAAGGCAGAGGACGCCTTTGAAGCATTTCGTCGAACACATTGAGAGCATCCTCAACATTAGTGATTTTCACACGCTGGTGTTGTTGGGTATTTCTAGATTCGGTCGATATAGAAGCTGGAGAATGAAATAAAGCCAAGTAATTGTTGAAGAAAACAACAACAACAGAAGAAGAATGAAGAAGACAAGGCAGCATACCTCTGAGTCTGAGTCTGGTGGTGCTGCTTCTGCTGCCATAACCAACCTTCAAATAAGAAGAAGCAGCAGCAATCGCTGCCCGCATCATCAACAGCATCTTAAGTCAGCGATTCAGTGCGTTAATCCTCCACAATAGAGTCTACTCGGGAATAAACCACCCTTATTGAGTGTGATGGAAAATGCTCTCCCTCGAAATAATGAAATCAAAACCCCATGTTGCTTCAGATAGAGTCTACTCTTGCGAAATCTAAAACCCAAACAATTGTAATCTCTCTACCACCACCACCTTGTAAAACACATATACGAAGACTCGATCCTGCATAAATATTGGTTATAATGCCACAAATGATGCACAGAAGCAACGTCAATCTGGTAAATTTAATAAATGATGGGGCATGTTCACATCATTTACAACATCATTTAGCATATACTTCTTGAAGGCTTATAAAGAAGAAAATAGTATTTCTTCAATTCAATTATTATCATTCATTTTTCATACTATTAAATAATGCAGATTATTAAAGAAAATTTAGAGAAAAAGTAAAGAAATATTATTTTTAAGTTAGAACATTGTAGTACTAGCATTATTTTAATATTAAAAAAAAGAAGAAGATAATATGCAAGCAAGCCTTAGTGAGAATTTGAAGTAAGCACGAGAGTATATGGGTGTGTTTGGAAGTGTACTTTAAATAATTAAAAGAAAAAACGTTTTTGATTTAAGTGCTTTTGAAATCAATCATTAATAAAAGTCAAGTACATTCTGAAAAAATACATGAAATGTTTTTTAAAAGAAGCACATAACTGGTGCACTACAAAAGTTGTCTTTGTATTGGTCTCATTGTATGTCAACTATTCATTATCTTTACTCTCTAGTTATATTTCTTATGTTAGCTCTGCCAGCCTCTGCAGATTCCGGTCGCTTCAAGACTTCAAGTTGAATAATCTGGTTGGTTAAGTGAAACATGTTCACCACACAAATAAAGTGACACTGGACACGTACGGTCGTTAGGCTCACACGTAGGCAGAACCAAGATCTAATATCACAATGCGGAGAGTGTCGCACATCCAAAAGTTAGGAGAGTTGGACTACTCCTCTGTTACCTATCGGATCTCGATTTTCAAATTTCATCTTGCTTCACTTTCAATACTGACATGCCGTTAGTTATTTATACATCTCACTTAGTTGTTACACTCTCATGTTTCATTTTAATTCGGGTTAATTACAATAACACCTCTTGAGGTTTTTTGTGTTTTCATAAAAACCCCCCACATTTGATAAATATCACTATACTCCTAAGGTTTTAGTTCACTTTCACATAAACCCTCCAAAGATGTATATACCCTTGTAGTTAATTACTTAAAATAAAAAATCTTTATAAATAAATAGAAAAAGAAATCAAATTAAAAAAATCACAATAAACATTAAAAATGGCCAAATTGTAGAATTCTTCTTGGCTTTGAATTCTGGGATACGCATGTGTTGGGTTTTTGGTTTTGGTATTTAAGTATTGGTGGCTTCCTTCAATAATTTCAAGTTCCATAATTATTGTTGTTATATTTTTTTGGTCTGATTCATACTCTCTTTGCGAGAATGGAAGTACAACGAAAAATTCTTCTAATATTGTTTATAATTCATCGGAAACAAAGATTTCATTGATCATTTTTAATTTCCAGAAATAAAAAAATTCACCAAAATACAGAACCAAAAACAATCAAAATTGCAAAAATGGGTGTTTTCCACTCTGATACGACGACAGTGGCCAAAGCGGCGGTGTTGAAGAAGCAGTTGCAGAGGCTGGCGAGGGAAATCTTGCACGATAAAAAACAACGGGTTGAAGGGTAATCTATCTACCACTTGTATAACAAATATATAAAGACTCAATTTGGTAAATTTAATAATTGATGGGGCATGTTCACATCATTTACGACATCAAATGGTAGTTCAAAGGCTTATCAATTCGGTCCTATAGCCTTAGCATGTACTTCTTGAAGGCTTATAAAGAAGAAAATAGTATTTCTTTAAGTCAATCATAACCTTTCATTTTTTATACTATTAAATAATGCAAACTATTTAAGAAAATTTAGAAAAAAAGTAAAGAAATATTCTGTTTTAAGTTGGAATATTGTAGTACTAGCATTATTTTAATATGAAAAGAAAAAACGAAGATAATAAAAAAACCTTAGTGAGAATTTGAAGTAACCATGAGAGTATAAGGATGTGTTTTTGATGAAAGTGCTTTTGGAATCAATTATTAATAAAAATTAAGTACATTCTGAAAAAATACTTGAAGTGCTTTTTGGAATAAGCACATAACTAGTGCACTACACAAATTGTCTTTGCATTGGTCTCGTTGTATGTAAACTAATCATTATCTTTACTCTCTAGTTATATTTCTTATATTTGATCTGCCAGTCTCTACAGATTCTGGTCACTTCAAGATTTCAAGTTGAATAATCTGGTTGGTTATGTAAAACACGTTCACAACACAAATAAAGTGACACTGGACACGTACAATCGTTAGGTTCACACGTAGGCAGAACCAAGATCTAATATCATAATGTGAAGAGTTTCGCACATCTAAAAGTTTGGAGAGTTGGACCACTCCTCCGTTACCTATCGGATCTCGGTTTTCAAATTTCATCTTACTTCGCTTTTAATACAGACATGCCATTAGTTATTTAAACATTTCACTTGGTTGTTACACTCTCATGTTTCATTTTAATTCGGGTTAATTACACTAACACATCCTGAGATTTTTCGTGTTTTCATAAAAACCCCCGTGTTTGATAAATATCACTAATACCCATGAGGTTTTAATTCACCTTCACATAACCCCTCTAAAGACGTATATACCCATGTAGTTAATTACTTAAAATAAAAAATCTTTATAAATAAATAGAAAAAGAAATCAAATTAACAAGAATCACATTAAACATTAAAAATGGCCAAATTGTAGAATTCTTCTTGTCTTTGAGTTCTGGGATACGTGTGTGTTGGGTTTTTGGTTTTGGTATTTAACTACTGGTGGCTTCCTTCAATAATTTCAAGTTCCATAATTATTCTCGTTATATTTTGTTGGTCGGATTCATACTCTCTTTGCGAGAATGGAAGTAGAACGGAGAAGAACATATACTACGACAACGAAAACTTCTTCTAATATTGTTTATAATTTACAGAAATAAAGATTTCATTGATCATTTTTAATTCCTAGAAATAAAAAAAATCCACCAAAATACAAAACAAAAAAGAATCAAAATTGCAAAGATGGGTGTTTTCCACTCTGATATGACGACAGTGGCCAAAGCGGCGGAGTTGAAGAAGCAGTTGCAGAGGCTGGCGAGGGAAATCTTAGGCGATAAATGACAACGGGTTGAAGGGTGTATTAATATAAAAATGGTCTGTGCATATTGGGTTTGCGGGTTTTCTGCACTTAATGAGGGTGATTCTGATTGAATCGTGGCTAAGAAACAATGGATAATTTGGCTAATTGTCGTGTAAACGTGTTAGGCTGGTACCGGTCTGTGCGGCATCGTTGTTGGGATTTTGGAATGTTCTTGCTATCCATTTGTGGTGATGACTTAAGGACAGGTACTAGATCCTTTGAAAAGAATGCTGATCTTGAAGCATCTCATAAGTAGATGGCTTTGTAGGGTTTCTTTTGTTTTATTTAATGGTGTTTCATGTAATTTTCATTAATTTAACATTTTTCTAGACTTATTTTATTTATTCATAAAGATTTTTATTTTAAGTAATTAATTAGAAGGGTATATCTGTCTTTAAAGAGGTTTTGTGAAAGTGAATTAAAACCTCTAGGGGTATTTGTGATATTTTTCAAATGTGAGGGGTTTTTGTGAAAACATGAAAAACCTTAGGGGGTGTTAATATGATTAACCCATTTTAATTCATTAGACTAAGTAAATAAAAGAAGAATTAAGGGGCATGATTAAGATTCGATCCCCAATAGAGTTGTCCTTCCTTTTATTGTATGTCATCTAAGATCTTAGTGCATAGGGTGTTGGTTTCTACCAATGCATCTTGAGTTTAAAACTCTTCCCTCCCCAAAATTGTTGTAATAATTTTGAACCCTTTTCCTTTCCCTTAATAACAATAATTTTTTTTTTAAAAGGCATATTTGCAAGAAAAATCCATGCAAAAAATGGTAGGATAATTGAGTAAAATTTTCGAATTTTTTATGGGTAAAAAACAATACATTCATGTTTTGTCGGTGTTTCGTTCCACTAGACAATCACATTGCGAATTGGAAATATTTGATTCTGGAATGATGGTATTCTTCATTAGGACGAGAATACTCTTCGGATTTTTTTTGTGAGGATTTTAGGGATTTTATCCTTTTATCATTCATTGTATGGTCAATTTTCATTAGGTAATGTTTGTGTTTAATTTTAAATAAAGAAATTCAAAATGATTTATGACAGCACAATGTACTATAAACGGATAGGATGTGAGGATTCCTAAGATCCTCACAAAAAGAATCTTGTTAGAATCCAAATTCTTATTATTAGTGGGTCGGGTGGTGAAACCTTGGAGAACAAATATCAGGTTGGGCCCATCAACCTTTAGTTTTTGCCTTTTTCCACGAGATCATGCGGGCCCATTAAGCTTTAATATACACATTTAGCGGGGCACGTAACTATAATGATGGAAAAGTGTTGAATCCATCATTTTTATCATAAATGATCTGCTTGTCCCGAAACGACCTAACCCAATAGAGAAATCCTAATTCATTGGGCCTTTCGATACAACCAAATAAAAAGCCCCAAGGGAGCCATATTCTAAGAGCGCATTGCATGCCGGCGTGAGTTCAAACTCCGTCAGTGACTAATCTAACAAATTTATCATTTGACAAAAAAAAAAAAAAAAAAAAAAAAACAGGGCTCGTGCTTGAGAGAGCAACCGGTGATGAGATGAGGCTTTCTCTAGTACACATTTAGTTATACATTTGAACGAGAGTCGATAGATCTTTTAACTTAACGGAATCTAATGACTCTTGGTCAGATGTGCAATTTAAATGTAAACTTTTGATGTATACTAAAACAATTCAGTGTTGAGAGGGCCTCTACGTGCTGAAACGCCTTGTATGTAAATTGGGGTCTTTAAGCCAAGGGCTCCCTGGTCCAGGAGAAAATTTTGATAGCCGTTAGAAAGAAAGAACTCCCTGGTCGCTTACATTTAAACCAAGGGTCAGATTCACTTAATTCAAACTTCAATGCAATCAAAACCTTACGCTCTCTCTCTCTCTCCAAAATTCACAACCCTCTCTCTCTAGAACTCGCATTTTGCTGTGATCCGAATCCGTGGAAGGTACTTTCCTTTCTCTCTCTCTATCAAATTATTTCTTGTTTTTTATTTAATTTCTTGTCAAATCCGTGGAAGGTAATAATCGCGAATGTTTGCGCTTTAATTCAGATCAAACGGCGGAAATGTTTCTTAAAAAATGAAAAGACCTCGTTCCAGATCACGACTCC